GGTATCACTCTAATTCTTCTTCTTCAAAAAAAAAAAAAAAAAAAAAAAAAAGAAAGAGATATAGCATATATTGGTATTATATGGCAAAATAGCATCATAACAAACAGTTCTCATGATACAATTCAATTACTTCCATCTCTTCATATTTTGCAGATTTAAGCTACATGAAATTTGTCTATAATTCCACTGATCTGCCATTAGAAGAAGTGTACGACTACATTGTAGTTGGAGGGGGTACAGCAGGCTGCCCATTAGCAGCAACTTTATCAGAAAAGTACTCGGTGCTCCTGCTAGAAAAGGGCAGTGTTCCAAGTGCATATCCAAGTGTTTTGAGTCAAGATGAGATTCTTACAACTCTCATGCTAGAAGACGATGGAAAGACGCCAGCTGAAAGGTTCACATCCGAAGATGGTGTGGCCAATGTAAGAGGCAGGGTTCTTGGTGGTTCAAGCATGATCAACATTGGCATATACTCTAGAGCCGATAAAGATTTTTATGGAAACTCAGGAATTGAATGGGACATGGATTTGGTTAGCAAGGCCTATCAATGGGTTGAAAATACTGTCATATCCCGGCCAAATGTGTCACGTTGGCAATCTGTTGTGAAGGAAGGTTTGATAGAGGCTGGTGTCCGTCCAGACAATGGATATAATTTAAATCACATTCCAGGAAGTAAGGTCACGGGCACTCTTTTCGACAATCAGGGAAGGAGACATGGAGCTGTGGAATTGCTTAATCTAGGAAACCCAAAGAACTTGCGAGTTGCAGTTCATGCCACAGTAGAGAGAATCATATTCTCTTCCAACGCACCAAGTATGTTTCATATATTTGCATCTTTTACTTTAATTTCTTTGTTAATCGAGCAGGATATTCAAACATTGACAGGAGAAATACCATTAGATTAAGAGTTAATGGATATCTTCGGTTTTCAATAATCCGATAATAACTACAATCTGTTCTAACCATGCAGGTTTGTCTGCTAGAGGAATCGTGTATAGTGATTCTAATGGGAGGTCACATAAGGCCTTCATACGTGGTAAGGGAGAGGTTATATTGAGTGCCGGGGCAATTGGAAGCACTCAACTCCTGCTACTTAGTGGTGTTGGCCCAGAGTCCTACCTTTCATCTATCAAAATCCCAGTTGTTCACCCCGAGCCTTACATTGGACACTTTATGCGTGATAATCCTCGTAATTACATCACAATTTTGCCTCCATTTCAACTGGATGCCTCTAGTGCACAAATTGTTGGTATCACAAGCGATTTCTACATAGAGACTTTCTCGGGGTTACCATTTTCTACTCCACCCTTTAGTGTTTTTCCTGATCCATCTTTCTCCACAAAGATAAATTCAACTTTCGGACAAATTGTGTACAAAGTTCCAGGACCCTTGTCCTATGGTTCGCTTAGGCTGCGGTCGTCCTATGATGTCAAAGTTGGTCCAAATGTCCGCTTCAACTACTTCTCAAATCCGCTGGATCTTGCTCGTTGTGTTAATGCCACAAGGAAGATTGGTGATTTATTAAGCACAAATTCGTTGAAACCATTTAAGGCTCAAGATTTGCCGGGTAAAGATGGTTTCAACTTTTTCGGACCACCATTACCAATGAACCTTACAGATACCGCATCCTTGGAAACATTTTGTCGAGACACAGTAGCCACATTTTGGCACTACCATGGGGGATGCCTTGTGGGAAAGGTGGTTGATGGGGATTTACGAGTCAAGGGGATCAATGCCTTACGTGTTGTTGATGGATCCACATTCAAGTTCTCACCAGGGACCAATCCTCAAGCCACCCTCATGATGTTGGGCAGGTATATTGGCGTTAAGATGCTGAAAGAAAGATAAGCTTGCAAGGCGTGTTATTCACCATGCCCTACTGATAAGGTGGAAGATTAATGAAACCAATTGTGTAGTGTTTTCCTACTGAATAAGGTGGAAGATTAATAAAACCAATTGTGCAGTGTTTTCTTACTGAATAAGGTGATGATTTGTACCATTCAATAATTTCACCATTATATAGAGTTATATTTACTTGTATCATTTGAGTTATCGAATTAATTACTGGAATACACATATAAGTCGACCGTTGACCAAATCGATTGTGTAGGGCCTGATCGGTTGACCAAATCGACCTCAGGCGGCTCGGACCAATTTAGTATTTTTCATATAATATTTTAACCCCACCCAAAATTATAAAGCTGCAGTTTTCGTAATTCAATGGAAAAAGTAAAAAAGAAAAATGGTATTTTTTATTATAAAGAACCTCCGTAAGGGAAGATGAACACATACGAAGAAATTAGAAGGAAAATAGCTCAGTTGAACCTATACACGTGGGTAACCCCAAGAGATTCTGTGGATAAGCCTTGGCTGCACCGATCATGAGCAAAGTTGGCTAAACAATATATGCAACTCCACAATTAGTGTCCATGAAAACAACGAAGCTATAAGAGCTAATAATAGAGATGTGGGTTTATCCAAGTTTGCTAGAGCGGATGTGCTCTCTACTTTGCACTCAAATTCGAATTCCTTTTCCTATAATTTAGATTAAATGAAAATAGAATATCGTTGACTAATAATAATTTTCTCACAAGACCAGACCATAAAATCAAACCCTGCAAGAGTTCAATCCAAAGCGTTCACCAACTCCGAGCCTACGCCAAAGATATACAACCACAATAATACCATGCTTCTGATTCCACCACTTTTAGAGACCCATTTAGAGACTATAATAATTTAATTTTGTGCTAACTTTCTTGAGTTAAATTTGTTAAATTTTATCTTAACTTGTTTTATAAACATTCGACCAAAAAAAAAATCCAACACCATAAATTTTCCCCTCATGGAATTGGAATTTTTTATGTTCATTTTTTGTGAACACGTTTTTCTTTATGAACATTTTGTATGACTGGAACTCTTTTTAATTTTTAATTTTTTTTTTTGGTGGCTGTTGGATAATATATGGACAAGTGCATCTTAGCCATTCATTTCCTAGCTATAAGTACATCTCCAAGGAAGAAGTAAAATGCAAAATGTTAATTTGGATTTGATAGCCTAGGTGGCAATTTGAAACCTTATAAAATTGTTAATAGCAAATTTAGCTTAGATCCATAAAATTCATTTTAAATCACCTACAACCCTTCCCTTTATTTTTCTATTTAAAATATCCAATTTTTTAAAATAATACCCGATGACTAGGATCCAACTAAGCAAGTTACCTAATATAACTTAAAATCTGATTTATTGTATTTTTCAGATCCCAAAAATACCCCTATTTATAAGTTAATGTGTTATGGGAGCGTATAACTAATGACGCAAATTGAATTTGAAAAGATCTCCAAATATTTGTAATGGATGTAATTATTAATTTAGAAACTTATTTGAAATTAAATATTAAATTCAACATTAATGTATTAGTAATCTACAAGTGATTAACGTTTTGGTTTATTTAATAAAAAAAAGATATGTTGTTTTCCTTTTATGACTTGTACATAACAGATAAATTTTTTTACTTTTGATGATAATCTTAGTCCTTGTGCTTGTTGACACCTTGTCACCTCTTGCCACCTTCACGGAGCGGTCCTGAGCTACATCTAGTTATTATCACCTAAAGTACACCTACTAATCATATGTAGATTATTCCGTTAACATGTATAAAATTATTTACTTTATTACAACTGAACTTGTTACTTAATTTTTATCTTTAAAGATTAATATATGATCATTTAGAAGTCAAGCAATTAAAAGTCTAGTTCTAGGATCTAGGTCACTTTGCGCTGCAAGGAAGGCTACAGGGGTTAGATAAGCTCTTGAACCTTTTCCAATGGTGAACCATTGTTGGAAGTTTGAATTAAATTCAAGAACCTTTGTCCCACATTGATAGAAAGTAAAAAGAGTGATGTCCTTATAAGTGTGGAAGTGCCACACTTAGTAAATGGAAGTAGACCAAGTGGAAGCAATTTGGGCTTTAAAATTGATTTGGGCTTTGAATATTATATAAAAATATATAATATTTAATGGTCAAAAAGATGGGCCTTGGGCCTTGGGGCACTTTCAGATTTAAAATTATTTTTTGGTTTCGAATTAATAATTTTTTATTAATTCGGATTAGTTTTATTAACTGTTTTCTAACAGTTGTGACTCTTCTGATAAGGTTTCAGAAGTTTATTTAAATCAAACAAGGCCTCATACGTTAAACACAGAAAAAAGCATTCTACAAGCATTTCATATTGTCTGAGAGGAAAACAAACAACGTTCGCCAGATTCTAAGTCCGAGTGCTAGGGCTTAGAATACAGATAGTTGAATCTTGGGAGGCAGTCACCTGTAGAACTTCAAGCACCGAGAAGGGGTGAAATTACTGTCTTTAGGACATTGCATCAAATCTGCAAGCCTCTATCTCAAATTCAAGTCAGTTTTATTTATTGTTTATATACTGTATTCTGTGTTACAGATTGTTATAAATTCTGTTTATATAATTGTTTTAATCAGTCATTGATAATTGTTTTTCCAACAACCATAACCGTCAGATCAGCCACCTTAGCACCTATATAGTTTGACCGAGTTATGAAACAAGTTTAGATGGAGTCCAAGCCTTAACCTCATGTGATACATATTTTACTGTCCAGGGTGGATTAAGGTGAAATTTATTTGCTTGACTAAATCTTAAATTTTGGTTCAGTTTTTGTTTGTTTATTAAATCTGAACGGAGTGGGATTTGTCCATTTTTAAAAGTATCAAGAGGGGCAATAGTACTAAACTTACACATATTACATGGATGCTAGGACTCGAATCCAAAACCTTGTATGAGGGAGTAAATACTCTGAGCCATCCCAATCAAATCGACAAACTGTGCTCAAATTGTATAGCGGCAGATCTTTAGAAATTAAAGCATAATATTGATTTTATACATTGTGCATTTTGCCTGAGGTATGCCTGCGGCTTTCTCAAGAGCACCCATATATAAACATGTATACAAAGTTAAGAAAACTATTTCCTAGTCTTAGGAAAATCTAGACTTTTGGATTTGGAGGAGGAAGCGGCCATTTGGAACCCTGAATATAGCCAAGGTTGAGGAAAGATTTGATTTGTTCCTTATTCAGCTATTTGGTGTATTTACTTTCCCAACCATACTTGAACCTGGACCCGAACACTTGTATTCTCCATAGAACACGGTGAATATAAAAATATAACAAAAAAAAAAAAAAAAAAAAAAAAATATATAATATTAACTCTCAAAACCATTCAATTATATGAAAATTCTTAATTAATTAGTGTGTTTTAATTTGCTTACCTATCACGTTCGGGGCGGTTCTTGTTGTTCCAACCAGTTGGGGTGATGACCTCGGACATGCTGGTGTAGGCAAAGACCACCCTGGGACTGGTCCTCCAAGCCTTGCCCAAATATGTGCCATTTCCAATACCAGTTATGTTGCAGTGGACAAATGAGTATCCAGTATCCTCTGAAGTTGAGTCCCTTGCTTGTGCTGTTATCACTGTCATTTCATTATTCCCCAGCACATGTAACTCAGTGTTCTGCACCCATTAATTAACTACCCATCAAAACCATGACATAATACATAGACAACAAACAGCTGAGTTATAGTGAAGAGTTAGTCGTATACATAACGTTTCTCACACAACATGTACGTGAAATTCAAAATTATAAGAAGAGACTCGCATTTAGCGATTTGATTTGTAAAACATGTAGGGAGAGTTAACAAAAGTTCCTTCATAAGTTTTCCTTTTATTTAGGAATCATGGGGAGAGTTTGGGTGACATTACCAAATAGAGAGACTTTCCACTTCCAAAGATGAAATCCACAATGCCTTCAATAAAGCATTCCTTGAAAAAATGATTGCCCCTGTCATCACAAAGTGTGTCCTAGAAACCAATTAGCCTGCAATTAAACAAGGCTGACTTGTTCCCCGACACCCTCAATGCCAATGCCTATTCTCCCACTCTTTTCCTATCTGGCTTTGGTGAAGAGTTCTTCACACAACCACAAATCAACGTAAATTATAAGGAAACAAAAATATTAAAAGAAAGTTAATTAAAAAAAATATTGTGTGTGATGATAATATCACGTGACATGAAACATTTCTCGCAAGTGTGAGACATTTACGTACCTTAATAATAAGGTTAGCTGCCACGAAGTAGTTGGATTTGGCAATCACTGTGGGTCAAAGTTGACATATTTGTTGTAGAGCCATAAAATGTAACAAATGGTTTATTCCATGGAATTGTGATTTTCTCATTGTACTCTCCCCCTCCAATGTACACAATGACACGTTTGGTGTTGTCGACCGGAATGCTATTAACGGTGTCAATGATGGTCTTGAATTCTCCACTTCCATCTTTCATAACCTTGATGACGGTTCGACCAACCTCAGCCGTTACAAGGGTAGGGTCAAGTGTGCCATGCCATTATTTGTACGGATTCACGTTGTTATTGAACCACGTGTTGACTTGGGAATGGTCGGCTGGTACCGGTGTATCATCATCAGCCACGGCTATAATGGCAGTGAGGATAATTAATGTCACGGTTAGAGTTGCATGGACACCCAAGCATGTGTTTTTTTGGGCCATTTTTATTGTTTATTTTTCTGGTTCTTGATTTTGAGTTTTTGTATCGTATTTGGTGCTGTTGATTAGAATGGTGAATAGAAGGCTTTGATTTTATAGTCCACTATGCAAGAGCTGGTTAAGGGACAGTGCATGTTGAGGGGGATTAATCCTAAATTTGCGATTTTTGGAGAGCTTCTTGCATATTTTGGTTTCTAAATAGGGGTTTATGTTCATTGAGATTTCAGTTACGCATTTTGTATTAGTTGAATAACAGAAAAGCACTAGCTACAGCTTAATTTGGGAAGGCATAAGAGGACATAATTGTGGTATGATTAAGAGAGTTCACTTTGCCATCACATATAAAATCCCAGTTATACCCTTGATTGTTAAGGATAGTCATACATTCGCAACGGCGAAACCACCCTTAGACTGGGTTAGGCTCCACCCGTGTAGAAATATCTAGAACAATAGGGATTTAGTGCTAATTTTAGGAAGTTCACCCCATTTAGTGAAAGCTCACCTCATTCTAGAAAAAATTAGTCCTCTCAAACCTAATATAGCTCCTTTAGCGGGAAAAAAAAAAGGAGAGTAAATAGTTGACAAGTAATCTTGTTGATAGGTTGACAATATTATATTATATAAGAGAATTTTTGCTCACCACTTTTAACTTAGTGTGTATTTTCATCACCATTCTCATGACTTGACGCATGTCTATGGGTTGTAGAACCATAGTTTTCTGTTTTTTTGTTTTTTGTTGTGTGTGTGTGTCTCTGATGATATTGTAATGCGAAAGCTCCCACTCAAAGATGGATGAAATTAATTACTTTATTATAATTGGACTTGTTACTTAATTTTTATCTTTAAAAATTAATATATGATCATTTAGAAGTTAAGCAATTAAAAGTCTAGTTCTAGGATCTAGGTCACTTTGCGTTGCAAGGAAGGCTACAAGGGTTAGATTAAGCTCTTGAACCTCTTCCAATTGTGAACCATAACCATCAGATCAGCCACCTTAGCACCTATATAGTCTGGCAGAGTTATGAAGCAAGTTTAGCTGGAGATCAGTCAAGCCTTACCCAAATCATTGCTCATGTGATTCATATTTTACTTTACAGGGTGGTTAAGGTGAAATTTAATTGCTTGACTAGTTCTTAAATTTTGGTTCTGTTTTTGTTTATTTATTAAATCTGAACAGAGTGGGATTTGTCCAAAAATGGAACTGATTGTTGATATGTTTTTTCTTTAGCAAATTTGAAAAAGGTGAAGTTATTTAAGGGATCGATACTTTGAAAATGCATGACTTATTTTTTCTTATGTGAAAATTTTAAATGTCTTAAGTTACATACTAGAATAGTGAAACCCTTATAGACAAATACAACTTCTTCGAGTAGGCAGTTTGCAAAAATTCTCTTATATAATAATATAGTAAATTGAGCTTAGACCCATAAAATTCATTTTAAATCACCTACAACCCTTTCCTTTATTTTTCTATTTAAAATACCCAATTTTTTCAAATAATACCCGATGACTAGGATCCAACTAAGCAAGTTACCTAATATAACTTAAAATCTGATTTATTGTATTTTTCAGATTCCAAAACTACCCCTATTTATAAGTTAATGTGTTATGGAGGCATATAACTAATGACACAAGTTGAATTTGGAAAGATCTCCAAATGATTATAAATGGATGTAGGAATTAATTTAGAGACTTATTTGAAATTAAATATTAAATTCAACATTAATGTATTAGTAATCTATAGGTGATTAACGTTTTGGTTTATTTAATTAAAAAAATTATGTTGTTTTCCTTTTATGAATTATACGACTGTAATCTATTTTATTATAGTTTTACGAATAATAGTGTACATTCTAATTATGTTGAAAAATAATTTGATAATCTATTTATTATTTTTTTTAAAACAATTTTTTTAAAATGAACCTATATTTTCTCTAAATAATGTACCTTTTTTTTTCTCTAATAATGTATACCTAGTAAAACAATTTACCTAGTATATTGAACTTTTTTTTTCTTCTAAATAACGTACCTATTTTAATTTGCATAAATTTCAATTATCCAACGTACCTATTTTCTATAAATTATTGTGTGCCTAATTTTTAATTTAAGAAAAATGTAGGGAAATTTCAATTACAAAGTAATTGACCTAGTTTTTTATTTTTAATTTTTTTGGTAAATAATATACCTATATTTTTATACATATATATATATATATTTGTATTTGTATTTTTCATATGTACATTATTGGATATGTAATTTACATATATTTGTTTTTGGTTTGTAATTTTAGGGGGTGATATGATAAAGGGAATGGCAACCAAAAGAAATGGGGTGATTGATATGCTATTAATGGGGCGTTTTAATTACAATTATGGCAGTTAATGAAATGCTTAGAATAAATCATAAATAAAATATGAAGTCTGATGGTATCGATGTAAAAACATAGGAATACTATGACCTCTTATATCCTACTGGTCATTTAAGTTTGAAATTGGGTTTTATACATAGATTTATAAAATAATGGGTATATTTCTAGGAAATAGAAATGGTGGGGACCTATATTGGACAAGCCCTGTTAATTCCACCCGAAATATAAAATACCATATTAGTTTTTAATATTTTAAAAGAAAATGGGGCCCATACCATGAATAAATTTTTAAGATAGACTATGGCTCATTTGGGAGTGATTCCGGATAGACCAAAATCACTTTGATAGAGAATCACTTCTCCCTATAATAACTTTTAGTAATTTTAAGTGATTCTAGGGAGAAGCACCTTCTAGATCTGACCAACTGCCCATCTTACCTCCTAGGGTTCCCTCATCTAGGATCCCTACGGAAGAGGATCAAGTTGGTCCTTGTGAATAGCTTGATTCACTATCTTCCTTCAACCCTTTGAGTGAAATGCGCCGAAAGGAAGAAAAATTCATGGACCGACCCCATCATCTCCCCTTTGTAGGAACTACGAGATCACCCCGAAGACTCCTTCAGCATCTAGGGGTCACGGACCGACCATAGAACCCTGTTCAATAAGTGTACCGCATTAGCTGTGTGCTTTCAGGTTGGGCCGAAAGGGTTGAAGAAGGGAAATCACTCATTCTTAGAACCAACATTCTTAAGAACAAAGAGTCGGGAAATTTAAAAAATTGTTCCGGGTGGAAATGAGGCAATATCAAGTTGTTTTAAAATATATGGGTGATTTTGAAAATAGAAAACGAAATCTGTTAGCAAACATGTCTTCAGTTTTCAGTTGTTTTATAAAAAAAAAGTGAAACTTAAAACTTAAAACTATAAAATGAAATGGTTATCAAACAACCCCTAAGTAGTGTGTTCTTGATGTCATTCGGGACAATCCTACATGCATGAGGGGGTAAAAAAAAAGAAGGTGGGTGGGGTATGTTGCGGGTGGATGGGGGAGAAGAAAACTACGCGGGGGGTAATGGGTTTGGTTCTGGGTGTGGAGGGTTGCTTTTGGGTGGTGGGCAAGTACTTCTTGGCGAGCTCTAATATGATCAAATTTATAAGTAAGCATCTCTTGTAAACTACGAGCAACCTCAAAATCCTCTAGATATCAATTGATTCAACAATTGGATTGGTGATGTTTTCGTATTATTAGTCTAGGGTTTATCTTTTCAACCATAGGTATTCTTTCGGGAGCAATATGGGCTAATGATGCAAAATAACTCATATGATTGCAAAAAATAACTCCTATTTAATCCCTTGTAACTCCTTATCAAATCGCCACAACTGACTCGAGCACAAAAGTGAAAATTACAGCACAAACACAAGTTGCCAGCTTTGATTTAATGAGGAAGTGGCCACACGACACCACCAACTGCTTTAAATAGCAGTTTCCTTTCAACTTGCACATTTCATTTGCAATGTCAATGCGAGTTTTGTTCCATGTCCCACCATTTTTCTTTTTCTTTTTGCTGTTTCGTTCCTTTAGTCCGGTGCATATATATGGACCACTATATTTCTGGCTGATATGGAACTATATACCTGTCATCTCTAATAGAACTATGTACTTGTCATCTAAATACCAACTATAACTAATATTTAGGCACCGGCCACATCTCCAAATGTGCCTAAGTTGTAGCCAAGGATAAAAGAAGGACTCAGAGTCCTTGATATCAAAATCAAACTCCATTTCTGTGATTTAGACCTCCTTGGCCTTTATATGCGTGTAAGAAGGCCTCGAAGATTTGTGCAAAGTCCATGCCATTGTGCCTGAGAAGATCGTGGCCATAAAAAACCGAAAGTATTAATTTGATCTAAGGTAAATCATAACTTACATTTTCAAATAAAGTTTTCTCTCTATCATCAATTGACATTGCTTGATTGACACATTACACAATCTACTCATGACTGGGCAGTGGTTTGCTCATCCCTCACTTTTTTTTAATTATTATTTTTAGATGTATTAGTGAGCAACACAACAACTAAACTAGCTAAGGTTGAATTAGATGAGAGGGAAAGAACTTTATTTATTTAGGACACACTTGTAAGATTTTAGAGTTATTTTCATAAGAGAGAAAAGCTATTGAAGTGTTTTCTTTATTTTACTTTTTTATTTTCACGCATTGGGTTCGGAGTTTCTACTCTAGGGCATGACTAAACGTAAATGTATAAGACAATTTAAATGCAAAAAAAATTGATTCTATAATATATTCAACATTTCATATCACTGAAAATGTTTCATAACTTTTTGAATTTCAAATACCTACAAGAGAGAAAAAAAGAAAGAAAGATGAAATTAACTAGATTTGATTGAATTTGTATGGATTCGATTGGAATTCTCACAAGAAAATCCACCATCCAATCCAAACATGTTTTTTTTGAAAATTATGTATTTAATCCAATTTGACAAACCAGCACCGATTAAAATCGGATTGTCACACCGCTGCATTGTATTAATTTGTTGTATCACAAAACTGTTTTTTATTTTTATTTTTCAGGAGAAAAAAGGTCTGTCTGGCTACAAAAACATGGAAAAGTCAAGAAATAGTGTTATATTATTTCTTTTCTACCTGTCTGTCTTCTATCCTCAGACTGAGGTTCACTCATTCGCCACTCCATCTGATCATGGTAAATCAATATCTCCTTAATTCATGTATATTAAAAGTTCGTTGTTGGAAACAATAATGACGTGAAAGAAAAAATTGACAAAAAGCTTAGTGTTCTTATAACCTTATTATTGTTTTTATTAAAGCTAGAAAAACTGAAGAAAAGATTATGGTAAAAAACGTTTCATAACAAACATTCTCCTTACGTAATTGAGTTACTTCTATCTCTTCATATTTTGCAGATTTCGGCTACATGAAATTTGTGTATAATGCCACAGATCTACCATCAGAAGAAGTATATGACTATATTGTAGTTGGAGGGGGCACCGCAGGCTGCCCATTGGCGGCCACTTTATCAGTAAACTACTCGGTGCTCCTTCTCGAAAAGGGAAGTGTCCCAACTGCATATCCAAGTGTTTTGCATCATGATGGGATTCTTACAACTCTCACTCTAGAAGATAATGGGAAGACGCCAGCTGAAAGGTTCACATCAGAAGAAGGTGTGGCCAATGTAAGAGGCAGGGTCCTAGGTGGGTCAAGCATGCTCAATTTTGGTGCTTACTCTAGAGGTGAGAAGGAATTTTATGCAGAATCAGGAATTGAATGGGACATGGATTTGGTTAATACTGCATATGAGTGGGTTGAAAACACTATTGTTTTCCGGCCAAATGTGTCACGTTGGGAATCTCTTGTGAAAGAAGCTTTATTGGAGGCTGGTGTTGGTCCAGACAATGGATTTAATTTGAATCACATACTCGGAAGTAAGGTCACTGGTTCAATTTTTGACAATGAGGGAAGGAGACATGGAGCTGTGGAATTTCTTAATCGAGCAGACCCAAAGAACGTGCGAGTTGCAGTTCATGCCACAGTAGAAAGGATCATATTCTCTTCCAATGAATCAAGTATGTTGCATATATTTGCATCTTTTACTTTTCGATGTATTAACCACGCCAGGTATTCGAACAGATTTAAACTCTTCGAATATTGACAAGAAAAAATGCTACTAAATTAAGAACTAATTGATATCTTCGGTTCGATAATAACCACAATCTATTTTCTCATGCAGGTTTGTCTGCTAGAGGAATCGTGTATAGTGATGCTCAAGGGAAGTCACATAAGGCATTTGTGCGTGGAAAGGGAGAAGTTATATTGAGTGCCGGGACAATTGGAAGCCCTCAACTTCTGCTACTTAGTGGTGTTGGCCCAAAGTCCTACCTTTCATCTATCAAAATCCCAGTTGTTCACCATGAGCCTAACATTGGGCAGTTTATGCGTGACAATCCTCGCTATTACATTACAATTTTGCCCCCATCTCCACTGGTTCTCTCTGGTGGACAGACTGTTGGTATCACAAAGGATTTCTACATAGAGACTCTCACCGGCCCCCCATTTTCCTCCACGCCCTTTAGTATTTTTCCTCATCCATCTATTCGCATAAAAATAAATTCAACTTTCGGACATATTGTAGGCAAATTTCCAGGACCCTCGTCCTATGGTTCTCTTACATTGCAATCATCCTCTGATGTCAAAGTTGGTCCAAATGTCCGCTTCAGCTACTATGCACATCCGCTGGACCTTGCTCGCTGTGTTAGTGGCGCAAGGAAGATTGGCCATTTATTAAGAACGAACTCATTGAAACCATTTAAGACTCAAGATTTGCCGGGTGTAGAAGGCTTCGACTTTTTTGGACTACCTTTACCAATGAACCAAACAGATAACGCATCCTTTGAAAGATTTTGTCGAGAAACTACAGCCACATTTTGGCACTATCATGGGGGATGCCTAATGGGAAAGGTGGTGGATGGAGATTTGCGAGTCATGGGGATCAATGCATTACGTGTTGTTGATGGCTCTACATTTAATTTGTCACCAGGGACCAATCCTCAAGCCACCCTCATGATGTTGGGCAGGTATGCTCTGTACACTTAAATACAACCGCAAGAAATTATCTAACCATCTATTTGAATGAAATTCTGATATGTTGCCGTTGTTTTTCCCTTCAATTTTTGGGCAGGTATGCTGGCCTTAAGATGTTGAAAGAAAAAAAGAAAAAAAAGAAATCTTTAATGTCGGAATGGCAGGTCTCCTGGGTGGTTAATGTTTAATAAGTGATGCAATTGGTTGAATGTTATTAATAAAACCACGTGCAGTGCTTATGTACTTGCTTTCCGTTTTCACAATGAATAAGGTCAAATTATATGTACTTGTATCGTTTGATATCTCAAATTAATTAAAAAGCTGCAGTTTATCAGACGACGATTCTAGGGTACAAAACGATCCTCCATGAAGAAAGATATATAATGACAGCTATAAACGACAACAACATGCAACAATTAATTTCCATTTATGTCAAAAAAATGAAGCACTATATCTACTCAAATTTTAGGCGTTTGGACTAAAAGTTACATCAGCTACCCAATCAGGTAGATCAATATGAGCAGGTAATATACGCTTACTAGATATAGGATACAGACTCAGTGTCTAGCATAAGACATGGCAACTTCCATGAAGAAATTTAAATACATATATAAGACATTGGAATGAGTTCAAAGAATAAACTGATATCACTTGTGATTTTGTTAACATAATCAGTTCCATCATCCAATGTTATCAGCTAGTAATAGTGAAGTTGGCACTTAGGTGAATTTGGTAAATTAAAACTCCAATCGGACAGATCTATGACACAAATGACTAGATAATCTTTGTAATAGTATGACTAGTCAAGAACTAGGCATAGACCTATGAACATGCAATCTAACCACAGATTCACAACAGATGAATGTCAAAACCTACACACCTAGAAGAAAACTATGTGACAACGTTGGCACTCAGAAGGATTTGTCAATTTAGGCACTCCGAGTGATAACAACAACTAAGGTGAATAGTGTGTGAATATCCATTCGTGCAGTACAAGAATATATGAAAATTTTGACTAGTCAAGCAACCAAGATGAGACACCAGAAATTCACCACTCAGAAAAATTGGGGGCTCTATCTCCAGCTCGACTACTATGCAGAGAATAGGGGATTGCCACCACTAGGGTGGGGTGGTTGTGGTGACTGCTGAGGTTCGATGGATGGGTCCCAGGTTTTTTATTTTTTATTCAATTTTTAGTTTTAAGTTAATTTTTCAAATATTTTTTCTACACATGACACTTATGTGGCATACATTTCACTGATACGGTGGGGCCACTTGCGCCACGAGAGCATTTTTAACAGATTTCTTGATGGACTTGACGGTAGGGACTAAATGAGATCCAAAATATCGGTCAATGCAGCAAAGTTCTCTAAGTTATGCTTTAATAGTCTTTTTTCTTTTATGAAAATGAGAAATAAATTTACGAAAAACCTCAGGATCCCTAAATTCCTACTATCACACAAGAGTTACAACGACACAAACAACAAGAAGTTTGAAAACTATGTTTAGCATCACCAATTGGTACCAGATCGTCAGCAACCATCCGCTTCCCAGTAGACGTGTCTTACTGGAGGAATCTGTTGTTATCCTTGCAATAATTCCTTTAATATCTTTAAAGAGCCTTGTACTACTTTTATTAAAATCAATGAATCTCCTTTAAACCAGTTGCAATAAAATTTCTCTTCTAAAAATTAACACACCTACCACTATTTTAAGATTTGGATACGTTATTTTTTAATTTTTTGAATAATAATTTACCAATTTTGTGATTTAATAAAAATAGCATATCTAGTATATATGTGTATATGTATATGTATATATGCATATTTGGACGATATATAACCTATTAGTTTTTGTGGAAAAGAAACTACCTATATTATCAATTATGAATAAAATTTACCTATTGTCGTGATTTAATAAAAATGCATATTTATTGTCAATGGGGTCTAGTTCAGTGGAAAATGGTCTTGATTTGCAGATAAGAGGTCTTAGACTCTCAGGTTCGAACATCGGCAACTCTGAGATTTTAGGGGCCCTATGCCAAAATAACAAGAGGGCTTCCTAAAATAAAGTCTTCAACGAAAAATTATAAAAAAGAATCAAACTATATAATCAAAATTTTGTGATCATCAAATTACTAATTACCAATAACCAAGAAAAATAATAATATATAAAATATAGGAAAAACCAACTCTAAGAATTTGAGAGAGAGAGAGAGAGAGAGAGAGAGAGAGAGAGAGAGAGAGAGAGAGAGGGAGAGAGAGGTGAGTGGTTGAAGGCTGAAGCTTGAAAACAAAATTAAGACACATGCTGCTGGAAAAAAAAAAAGTGCTGCTAAATGAACCCTAAAATTATTTGAGTACACCATACTACTAAACTATTTATTGAATTACTAATTTATCCTAATATAAATTGACCAAAAAAGATATATTGAATTAAAAAAAAAAAAAAAAAAAAAAAAAAAAAAAAAAACACCCTACTCACCATATTCAACCCTAATCAAATGTAGAGAAATTTTCGTATTGCCTGGTGCCCACAACGAACAACGCAGTGAGCATTGACGGAGGCGAAATTGCAGGACGAAAGGTTCTTCCATTACTTTTTCTGATAATTTTTGTTTTTTGTTTTCGTATTTTTACTAGAATTTTATTCGATTTGCTTGATTAGGGTTTATCTGTAAAATTCAACAGTTACTTTTCCAAGAACTTTCTACAAAGTTTCACTTATTGCTTGTTGCCATATTTTTTCTTTTCTTCAAGAAATTTTGGCCTTAGCAGCAACGGGAAGTTTAACTTTAATATTATATATATTCCATATAAATATAATACATATATTCATTAACAAGTAAAGTAGCAAGTTCAACTGATCTATTTTGTCCAAAATAGTAAATAGGAATGATCTTACAAACATTGTCAGACGGAGAGGATATAAACCTATAAGTGAGCTTTTGCCGGAGTCAACAGAAACAAATATAAATGGTAATGTGGATAATGGCATGGATAATGGCGTGGCTAGAATTTATGATGCAACCAATGATCGTAAAGTAATAGTAACCTTCTCTATAAAAATAAAAAAGGTAATAGTAACTTGGTTTAGGATTGGTATTAGGGTGTTGTGTGATAAAGTGTATTTGGGTATATCAGGGGTATTTTTGGTAGTTAAATAAGGTGTACTTAGTTAATTTTACATTTTGATTATAATATTAGGGTGTACTTAGATCATAAGGTGTACTTAGTTAATTTTAGAGTTTGTTTAGTAGCACTAAAAAAAAATTACATTCAAAGTTGTATGTTGGAGGCCTCTTTATATTGGGCATAACATTTGTTTAGAAATGGAATTTATTCATAGAATCAAAGTAGCATACATAGAACGACACGAAACAGTGGCCATGTTTAAAACCTTCCTGAGGGACAAACCTCAATGGAGGGAAGAGTACCACACATGTCATAGACTAACAAAAGAGTCTGAAACAGGCACGCAAGACCAATGCTAGAGCAAGATAAAATAAAACAGCAAACTGACATATAGACCTTCGACGCAAAGACCTTTGATGAGAACACAATCCAACTGTCAAAAGAATCTTGCTATGAAATCATAGTCCTTTGCACAACCACATGATAGTGAGAACATCCGACAAAGAACACAATACGCCAAGAAGAAAGAAAACAGCCACTAAGCACACCATCTCCAACCACCTCCAATAGCAATTGGCGATGAAAGAAAAGAAATATGCAAGGAACAACACAAAGAAGAGACCAACCCCACAAATAGGACAAGAAAGAAGTAAATAAAAAAGCCCACAAACAAGTCATATCATCTCAACACTGGCAAAGAAACATCCTATGAAAACATAGTCCTTGAGACAAGAGGAGAATCAAAGATCAGTTAAGGGGAGAACAAAGAAAACACCACGCAACAATAACAAAACTATCCTAGCCACTGAACCTGAACACGGGGATCAGGCATAGGAGCATTCGCTGGATGCCAAGTCCACAAATGCGTGGACAACATTGAAAATTGTTGATGTATGCATTTTGAGTTTTTCTTTTGGCTTCCCTTGACAATTTTGTAATAGGATTTTTATTGTTGTTATCAAGCTCAAGTTTAGATTAAGAATAACTTCTCTAGGTGTTCTTAACTAACAACTATCCTATAGAGGTTCAAGCAAAATGACAAAGGTAAATTGTGTCACATTGCATTAAATTGATTTCATAAAATGATGACTAGTCATCTGTTTCTCGTATGACTAGTCATCCTTTCTCTGTAGGATTTCCAGCTGGATAACCAACTATTTTGTCTTATTCTCCTTTCTCTCTTTGCTGCCATGTGTTGATTCAGACCTACGGAATTTTTGGGTGTAAAGGCCAAAGGATTCCTAATTTGGCAGCCGTCACTTTTGTAGGCAAGTTTTGGAAAGTTTCTCTGTAAACTTTCTCTTCTTTCTCAAGTGTAACCTTCATATTTTTCATCTTTGAGTTTTCCAAAATGTCTCTTTTTGAAAATTGCATTTAAAATATGAAAACCCATCTTGCTAGATCAAACACTCTCTCTATATATCTAGGTCAGATTCAAGATTAATTTCTTCAAGAGTATGGTTTCTTGAAGAAATTGGTCATTCTCCTTTGAATCCAAATTTTGGTTTCTGTCTGAGTTAGAGCTTGCAAGCTGGTGCCATGGGATGAATGAGCTGGAAAAGGAGCTACCATTGCCACGAAGAATTTAGCTTAAAGCTTTGCTAAGTTGGAGAAGAAGATTGCACAAAGGAGGTATAGCTCATCTTCCTAAATATATCTAGGTTTTTCTTGAGTTCCTTTGTAGGAATCTTTTTATACTTAGTGGATTGCCTGGTCGGTTGATGACCCCCAGTTTTTCCCAATGGTGGGTTTCTGGGTGAACAATTTCTGATTGCATCTCTGTAATTTTTTTGGGTTTGTGTTCTTAGTGGTTGACTAGTCATTGTATGAATTCTGGGTTTGTGTCCTTGTTGTTGACTAGTCATAATTATCTGTTATTTGGTGTTTACTTGATTATGATGATTTCACACACTTTCACCAGAGTTGTTGCTAGCACAAGGGATGCCTGGATTGATGGGTCCTTCTGAGTGCCTAGGTTGTCACTAGTAATCTTTTAGGGTTGCAGGTACATTGTGGCATGCTCTGTGTGTATTCTTGATTGTGGCTATTCATGACTAGCAGTTGACTAGTCATAAGTGTTTTTGGTCAAGGTCTAAAGTGTGTGAAGATTGTTGCGTTTTGTTTAAGTGTCGTAAAATTTACCCCTTGTCACCTAAGTACTAAATTCAATTGGTATCAGAGCACCAACTCTTAACATAAATAGAGAGATTCTTTGGGTGCTAATTGGTATTAGGTGTGTAAACATAAAAATGGATCAAATTGATCCTTGCATTCATGATGAGCTTGCATTGTTTGTTAAGAAATATAGAAGGGCTGTCAAAGATAAAACCAAAGTCACTAGGAATTGTCAAAATCTTCCTAATTCGTCTATATGTGTGTCTCAAGACAATGTTTTTAAGGAGAGGAATTTTTTGAACTCTTATGGCTTTAGGGAGGACAAAAGTTTAAAGGGTCTTGTAAAGTGCTATCTATGTGGCAGTGTTAGTCACATTGATGTGGAATGTGCAAATAACCACATGACAGAGTCTAATGAGAGAGAAAAGTCAATTAGTGCACAATGGAGTGATAGTGGTAGTGATGATTCCAACAACTATATCACTTCATCTTATGAAGAGGTAAATAATTTTGCCCTTGTTGGTTATGTTCATAACTCTAGCCTTGCTAGAGTTCATGTAGTTAAGAAAAAATGTGTGTCCGGAGATGATAGATAGGACGACCAGTCATATAGGGAACAAGATGACCAATCATACAAAGAAGAGGATCACCAGTCATACAGGGAACTATGTGAAAAGTATGATATGCTTTTCAATGAAACCTGTCATTTCAAAGAACATATCACATGATGGAAGAAAAGGTTAAGGAACTTGGTGTACTGAATGAAACTCTCAAAAATGGCCAAAAAGAAGTTGAGTGATAGCTTGTATGAGAATGAAGTTGACATGTATGAATTGTATCATAAAGTTAGCACTCTTGAAAAAGAAAATTCTGATTTGATTAAGAAGTTGAATGTACTTGAAAATGACAAATCCTTGTTTCTTCATAGACTGATTTTATTTGAGTTTGGAAAGTCATTAGTTGAGCATGAAAAGGTAGTCGTGCATGATAAGTTTGTGGTTGAAAATTCTGTTTTGCAATGCATGTTATTCGAGAAAGACATTGAGGTTCAAAACTTGTTTGAGATGATAAAATCACTTGAAAACAACATGGCTAAACAATCTGAATCTTTTGATGCTTTACAATTTGAAAATATAAGATTGGAACATGAACTTAAGTTGGAAAAAGAAAAGATTCAAGGTTCAACCATTGGAGCTGGAAAGATTGATAAAATGCTCAATTTTGGAAAATTGTTTGGTGATAAAAGAGGTTTAGGATATATAAATGAGTCTTCTACATCTTCATCATTTGAGACAATCTTTGTCAAAGATATGTCAACTCGAGAAGCTCCAAAATTTGTTCATGGTCTCAACTTGGGTTTCGATTCCATGAATATTGTTTCTAAGGGAAAGCTGTCTCCTCCACAATCCAAATTTGTGCCTACTTGCCACCATTGTGGTGTGAAAGGACACATTCGACCTAGGTGTCATATCCTTAGGATTGAGTCTCTAAGACTCATGTGTCATCTTTTAAGGGGTATGCGGCTGTAAAGTCTGTGGTTTGTACAAGAGATAAACATTCTTCACTTGCAAAATTTGGTTTTCAACAACAAAAAAGGTTCATTCCTATATGCCATTAGGACACATTAGACCAAAGTGTTTTGAGCTTAGGAATTTTGAGCAAAAGCCTTTTGTTCATTTCAAGAAAGTAAATGATGACTCACTTCAAACTCAAGTGAATGATCTTCTTTATAAAGTTGTCAAAATTCCTAAGGTGATCTCTTTGCCTCATAAAGTCTCAAAAGTGAAGGAAGTTTGGATCAAGAAGGAAGACCATGTTCATCCTCATGTTGGTGACTAGTTTCTTTATCTTATGTATCTAGACCATTCTCTTGTTTGTGTGTGCTTCATGAAGTCTAGATACATTGTCATGCATTTGCACCTTGTTCTTTTGTTTGATTAGGTTTCATTTTTTTTTTTTTTTTTTTTTTAATTTTAAAATGGTCATTGCATGCATGTCTTTCAATCATCTCTTTCATAGTGCTTTAAATCTTAGGTGATCAACAAAATTTCATGTTCTTTTGAACTTATTCACATTTATCTTGTTGGTCTTGTCCAAACCTTTTCCCTTGGTGGCGAGGAATACATCTTAGCCATTGTAGATGACTTCTTTATGTTTACTTGGGTCTCATTCTTACGTGAAAAATCTGAAACTTTTCAAAGGTTGAAGTCTGTTTGTCATCTTTTGCAAAAAGAGAAGATGACTAGTCATCTGCCTCTTTTTAGAATTAGAACAGATCATGATTCTAAGTTTGAGAATTCTCAGTTTCTGAAATTTTGTGAAGAGATGGGAATTGAGCATGAGTTCTCTGCACCTATTACACCTCAACAAAATGGTGTTGTGGAGAGAAAGAATAGAGTTCTTGTTGAGATGGCTAGGGTGATGCTAAATAGCAAAAATCTTGCTAAACATTTTTGGGTTGAAGCTGTAAATATGGCTTGTTACATCTCAAACAGGGTATTTTTGAGGTCTGGTACCAAACAAACTCTCTATGAGATTTGGAAAGGAAAGAAGCCTAATGTGTCATGTTTTAGAGTCTTTGGTAGCACATGCTATATTCTGAGAGATAGGGAGTATCTTGCTAAGTTTGATTCTAAGTGTGATAAGGGAATATTTCTATGGTATTCCACTTCAAGCCGAGCGTATAGAGTGTACAACTGTAGGACTAAAACTATCATTAAGTGCATAAATGTCAATATTGATGATTTTGCTGCCTCTACTGAGATGACATTAGATGAGGATGGTCTTTTTCCTCCTCCTCTTGAGCAAGAATCTCCAGGTCTGGATCTTGTGGTTGACCTCTCAGCTTTTGGAAATTCTGTCCCGGTTGACCTGTCAACTCCTTCAACCTCTAGTTTCATTTCATCTGTCCAGCTTGCCAGCTCCCATGCTGATCATAGTCCTCTCACTCAAATTGAGAGTGTCATTATTGGTCCTCTTAATCAGGGAGTGAGAACTAGGAAACAAATAACTCAAGAAATTTGCCATGTGTGTTATGTCTCAAATGAAGAACCTAAGAATGTGAAAGAGGCTTTGGACCATGGTGAATGGTTTCTTGCAATGCAAGATGAGCTCATTAGGTACTAAGTGGATTTTCAAGAACAAAACTTATGAATAAGGTAATGTTGTTAGAAACAAAGCTAGATTAGTTGCTCAAGGTTACACTCAAATGGATGGTATTGACTTTGATGAAACCTTTGCCCCGGTTGCAAGGTTAAAATCAGTGAGATTACTTCTTGCCATTGCTTGTCACTTAAAGTTTAAACTTTATCAAATGGATGTCAAAACTGCATTTTTGAATTGTATCTTGCATGTCTATGTTGAGCAACCAAAGGGCTTCGAAGATCCACATCATCCTAATGATATGTTTCAATTGAAGAAGGCACTTTATGGCTTGAAACAAGCTCCTAGAGCATGGTATGAGAGGTTATCCTCTCATCTTCTAGGCAATGGCTATGTTAGAGGGTCGGTTGACAAAACCTTGTTTGTAAAAAGATTCAAAAGAGATGTCTTGATTGCTCAAGTGTATGTTGATGATATTGTGGTTGGTTCTACCTCTGACTTGCATGTTCAAGAGTTTATTCATGTCATGACTAGTGAATTTGAAATAAGTCTTGTAGGTGAGCTTAACTATTTCTTAGGTCTTCAAATCAAACAAAGCCATGATGGGATCTTTGTATCTCAATTAAAATATGCAAAACATCTTGTGAAAAAATTTGGTTTGGAGGGTGCAAAATATGCAAGAACTCCAATGAGCACTAGTGCTAAAATTCATAGAGACTTCTCTACTTGACTGCTAGTAGACCAGACATTTCTTGTAGTGTTGGAGTGTTCAAAGTGACCCAAAAGAGTCTCACTTGTTTGATGTTAAGAGAATAATAAAATATGTGAGTGAGTTTGGGTTGTGGTATACCTATGACACTTGTGTCAATCTGGTTGGGTATAGTGATGCCAATTGGGCAGGGTATAGTGATGATAGGAAAAGCACTTCTTGGGGGGTCTTTTATGTAGGCAACAACCTAGTTGCTTGGCATAGCAAAAAACAGAACTCTGTCTCCTTATCCACTGCTGAAGCAGAGTATGTTGCAGCTAGGAGTTGCTGCACTCAACTCTTTTGGATGAGACATATATTGGAAGACTATGGTCTTGCTCAATCATGCTTTCTAATCTATTGTGACAACATGAGTGCCATAGATATTTCTAAAAATCCGGTTCAATACTCTAGGACTAAGCATATAGACATTAGGCCCCATTTTATTAGAGATCTTATGGAAGAGAAAATTTTATCTTCGAAATTTGTTCCTTCTGAGAAACGGCTAGCAGATATACTCACCAAGGCCTTGGACTTTCAGAAACATGTCACACTTAGGCAGTCCATTGGCCTTTGCTCAATTGATTGATTAGCTTGTCTGTTCATTGTCTTCAACACATTCCAAAACAGTTGACTAGTCATCTTGCATGTAGTTGACTAGTAAAGTCCAATTTAAAATTTTTTTTATTAAAAAAAAATATTTTTAAATTGATATGCCACTGTTTCACATCTCTCATCTCTGATGGTGTGAAGGTTGAATGTTTTTGTGCTTTGTCTGACTTGTGCATAATCCCCTTTCTTGTTTAGAGCTACGAGATGAGACTTAATTCGTGCTAACTTATCCTCTTGGTGAGCCAAGTGTCTATGCTTTATTTTGGACTGTCATTGTTATAATCTCTTAGCTTATCTCACTCTCTTAGCCAATCTATTCAATAATTAAAATAAAATAAAAAAAAGGAAGTGTGACCAATGTAGTCACGGCTCTAGGATGTTATAAGGTGATATGATTGAAGCATCTAGAGCAAAGAGCCGTAAAATTGGGCCATTCAAGCACTTATGTCTAGGATGTACAAGTGACACAAAATAAATCATCAAATATTTTGTCAATAGAGAGTGATGATACTTGAACTTTGAGCCTATACTCTAATCATGTCATAAATTTTCATTGTATACATGTCTCCCCAAGAGAGATAAGATATCATTCCTTGTGTCCCTTGGCTCTGAACCTCCCTATTCCAAAATATGCCTTGTCTCTAAGCATGAAATGCAATTCATATTCTATCTCTTAGAGTTGGTTGTAAATGTTACTTGCATAGGCTTTTAATTCTTTCCTTTTTAATTCATGTGCTTGAAGACTTGGCCTAGACAATGAATGCTAAACATCCTTGATCACTTGATATGTTTGCTAGTTCTTCTCTGTGTATTAGCAAAGTCCTTCATCTTCTATAAGGTCGATACTAAACATGTTTCTTATTGTGATTACTGCTCTGATTGACTAGTCACTATATGCATACACTGCTCTTATTGTGGTTGACTAGTCATCATGTTCTATTTTAGTTTTTGACCGTGTCTTTGGTCTTGTCTCTTATTCCTTAGCTATGTCTCTAGCCGTCAAGAGAATGTTGTATATGCTTAATAGGGATCTTGTGCCTTTTTGGTGAAATTGATTTTCACTCTCTAAGAAAGACCATTAGTTATGAAACAAAGCACAAAGGCTCACTTGTCTTCTTCTTGTCTCATTTACACCTTCTATTTCAACACTGGTATTGTGTTTATATGTGGTCGTGTTTGGATGACGCCACTTTGGTCTATGACCAGTCATCTTAATAAGTTGTGTTCCCACATTCAATGATTTAGCCTAACATAATTCTTGAAATCCTTACGAGTCTGTTGTGCTATATGAGTTTTGGATTGCTGGCTAATTTATTTTGTTGGGGGAGTTTCTTTGAGATGCTTGTGTTTTGGCAACATTCTTGCTGGTTGTTTTTATCATTTTCATACATCAATGTTGCCTTCCTAAGCCTTCTCTCGGTTGATTTGCTCTCTCTTGTTCTTGGTTGTGTCTATGAGGTTGTTGGTCTTTTGATGCCATCTCAAATTTAGACTTGCGTGACTAGTCCACTCTCTTCTTCTTGTGCTTTTTGGAAAAGCTATGTTGTGTTTTTTGGACAACCTAGATACTTATTTCTTGTGTTCTTTCTCACATGTCCTTAATTTTAAGCAAAACTTTAGGGTTCATCTTGCCTGGTGCCTTCTTCAAATTTGACAATGATTGATGCCTTCAATTTTAAAATCTTGGTGGTGCTCTGTCTTGATTTTCACTATGGTGTGTAAAGAAAAATTCATTGGTTGTCCCTTGTTTTGATAAATATGTTGCATAAACTCTATCTTTTTGAGGGAGTTTCTTTATGTGTAATGTGTACACATTGAAATTAAATTCAGCCACTTGATTTTAATTGTTTTAGGTATGATTTCTTGCAACGTTTGCTCCATTTCTTTTCTCTTTAGCCTGATGCACTTTTGTGTTTGTTGGCTATTTATGGAAAGTTTGCTGGATTAGTACGTCAAAGGTTAATTCCTTTATGTTATATGATACTCAGGGGGAGTATTTTTGGATAGGTTGGGTGGTATATTTTTGTAGTCATGTTGTGGGGATCTTTTTGCTTAGGTAGTCTGTGCAACTTGATAGAGGGAGTTGTCTTGTATTGTTTTGAACAAGTGTTGTTTTGCTTTGTAATCAAACTATGTCATGTGCATATTGTTCAAATATGATTATGTGACTTGTGTTTAATTCACTTGATTACTGTTTCTCTATATTTGCCTTTTTGCTCTTTCCTTATCAACAAGGGGGAGAACACTCTCAACCCCATATTGCATATATATATTGCATATTGCTTCAAATTTCTGTTATATAATATGCTTGTCTTGTGCCTGGGAGTTTGGTTGTTGTTTTGCAGGTACTTCATTTCATCATCTCCTTAGGTTAGGTTTTGAGTTGAGTGTATTTAGAGAGTGTGTTGTCAAGGAAAGCCAAAAAGGGGGAGATTGTTAATGTATGCATTTTGAGTTTTTCTTTTGGCCTCCCTTGACAATTTTGTAATAGGATTTTTATTGTTTTTATCAAGCTCAAGTTTAGATTAAGAATAGCTTTTCTAGGTGTTCTTAATTCACAACTATCCTATGGAGGTTCAAGCAAATTGACAAAGGTAAATTGTGCATTGCATCACATTGCATTAAATTGATTTCATAAAATGATGACTAGTCATCTGTTTCTCGTATGACTAGTCATCCTTGCTCTGTAGGATTTACAGCCGGATAACCAACTATTTTGTCTTATTCTCCTTTTTCTCTCTGCTGCCATGTGTTGATTCAGACCTAGGGAATTTTTGGGTGTAAAGGCCGAAGGATTCCTAATTTGGCAGCCGTCATTTTTGTAGGCAAGTTTTGGAAAGTTTCATTGTAAACTTTCTCTTCTTCCTCAAGTGTAACCTTCATATTTTTCATCTTTAAGTTTTCCAAAATGTCTTTTTTTGAAAACTGCATTTGAAATATGAAAACCTCATCTTGCTAGATCAAACACTCTCTCATATATATCGAGGTTAAATTCAAGATTGATTTCTTCAAAAGTATGGTTTCTTGAAGAAATTGGTCATTCTCATTTGAATCCAAATTTTGGTTTCTGTATGAGTTAGAGCTTGCAAGCTGGTGCCATGGGATGAATGAGCTGGAGAAGGAGCTGCCATTGCCATGAAGAACTGAGCTTCAAGTGCTAAGTTGGAGAAGAAGATTGCACAAAAGAGGTATAGCTCATCTTCCTAAATAGATCTAGGGTTTTCTTGAGCTTGCTTGTGTTCCTTTGTAAGAATCTTTTTCTACTTAGTGGATTGCCTGGTCAGTTGATGATCCCTAGTTTTTCCCAATGGTGGGTTTATGGGTGAACAATTTCTGATTGCACCTCTGCAATTTTTTTGGGTTTGTGTTCTTAGTGGTTGACTAGTCATCGTATGAATTCTGGGTTTGTGTTCTTAGTGGTTGACTAGTCATCGTATGAATTCTGGGTTTGTGTCCTTGTAGTTGACTAGTCATCATTATCTGTTGTTTAGTGTTTACTTGATTATGATGATTTCACACACTTTCATCATAGTTGTTGCTAGCACAGGGGATGCCTAGATTGACGGGTCCTTCTAAGTGTCTAGGTTATCACTAGTAATCTTCTAGGATTGCAGGTACATTGTGGTATGCTCTGTGCATATTCTTGATTGTGGCAGTTCATGACTAGCAGTTGACTAGTCATAAGTGTTTTTGGTCAAGGTCTAAAGTGTGTGAAGATTGTTGCGTTTTGTTTAAGTGTCGTAAAATTTACCCCTTGTCACCTAAGTACCAATTTCAAAAATCAATATTAAATAGGAATAAGAAAATCCAAAATAATATTATCCTATTAATATAGGAGAAGCCAAAGCAATCGATATAAAATAAAGTTACGGCAATAAAATAATATTTATTATGGGACCCAACTTTCCTTATTTTGTACTAAAAGACGAATGAAAAGTGAATATTAATGTTATTAAATTAATATTATTATTAAGCTATAACAACATATTAACGTCAATTAATATTTAATGTAGGACCCCTTTTAAAGTGGGGTCTTGTGCGGTTGCTCACTTTGCTCATGGCAAACGCCGCCAATGTTCAAACCCCCATGACATCATTTGTGTTTGTGAGAAATTCTCATCCATTCTAGTTTAAGACTATCGCTTCTACTATAAAATAAAATAAACAAAAACAGCAAATCTATTATTTTGTTTTATATTGCACGAATCCCTATTGTATCTATTAATTCATTTTTTTTCTTCTTGGGTCTAAGTATCTTATAGTTCTTTTTGGATAATAATATTTCTATTATCTGTAATTTAACTATTATTGAAATGTAAATACATGTGATTTACTTATTATTGCAAAATCAAGATACATATACCATTCACCTATACATATAATGAGAATGCATTAATTTGAACGCCCATATAAGATAATTTTCTCTCGAGTAAACTTAAATATTATTATTACATAAGATATCTATCATTTGCATAAACTTGCAATTAGCTTGGATGTTCTTATCACATAAGATTTGAAGTTCATCCTATCATTATACCACTATAAATAGGACCAGCACCTTGTGGTTTATGACATAAGAAATAAGAAAGAAAGAGAAAGAAAGAGATATAGAGAGAGAGAGAGAGAGAGAGATAAAAGAGAAAGTGTGTTGGTAGAGATTCGTGGATAGATTGGCTTGAAAAGAGGGTCCTCATTATCAAGGTGAGTACTTTATGTAATTTATTCTAAAAATTCTTATTTTGTGATAAAGATTAAAACTATAATTTATCATAAATTTCTTGTATAAATAAATATCTCTATATTTCATGTCAGGCATGCCTTATATTTGTGAACCATTTTGGGTTTATAGTATAGGTTGATCTATGAAGTACTTGAAGAGTGTTCATAAAGCGTGAGAATTTCAGTGATATGCTATCTGAGATAAATGTACCACACGGGGACATAAGACAGTGAAGCAAATAGGGGTCATGTGGTGGG